CTCATCATCCATCTCCCACAATGGTAGTTTGAAACAAACACAAACAGTGGAATAATGACATGCAAATAGAATGCAGATTTTCAGTGCGAGGACAGCTCAGATTATGACGAAAGCATCGACATCTACTCTTAGTTCCAAATCGAACCTCAAGAAGACGAACCCACTATTGCTGGATCGCTATTTCGTCGTCAAAGGAATACTACTCATGCAGTTGTTTCAATTCTGTCCTCATTGTGGAAATAAGGTGTACGAAACGCGTCTAACTGCTTGCGGAACAGCTGCCATTGTGAAATACGTTTGCGAATCGTGCACTAGAGGTCGTTCGAGGGTAGAGCGCTGGGAAAGTCAGGAAAGAGCGGTCAACCACAGTAAAGAGAGAATTCATAAGGGAAATGTTGCTGCTGCAGTAGCAGCTATCACCAACTGGATTGAGATTTGTTGTAAGTGATGTTTCAGAGCCGAATTACTCGGTTAGTAATTGAAATCATACAGGAACTGAATCGATGGGCTAAAGAGTGGAACTCTAACCACGTCCTTTCAACGAGATCTCACACACGCAAGTCCGTATGGCGGCACTTCGGTGTGTGAATCGAAAAATGCCTTAGATAGGATATATTGCCGAAAGGAGGTTTTCTAGTAAGTAAAGGCTTTGGAACCAATTCATTCTTGACTACCAAATATCAATTATTTCAGTCCTATATCGACGTATCACTACTATACAATGATGTGTACAATGCACATCAACTCATTGAGGATGGCCGACCGAAGAGGGGATCGCGTCGTCACAAGAACCATTGAAGTGCCACGAAAATACTTCGAGCGCAAGTGTAAAATGCAGTTCAAATCCCCGATCGAACACACTTGGAGAAAATCTATATTAGAAGAAGTTCTTCTACAAAGGTTTTCGAAGTGGGAACGTAGACAAGTTTCAAACACGGAAGGTTTCAATCGAGAAGAGTGAGTTTTTACTTTTTGTAGAGAAAAAGTTTTATTCACCCTTTCAAATACCTATGTATGCATTGAATGCGGCCAGTGTGCCCTTGTCTTCACACCTAACGCAACTTCTAGAAGTTATCACACCTCCACTCCTCGTCGTCGTCTTCACACTCGAAGTGCTTAGTTCCGCTTTTCCATGGCTAAACGTTGTAACTCTCACAACACTGGCATTTCCGAGTTCCCTTATAGTTTACCTTGAATCCCACGTACTCTGCATTGCCTGAAGGGTAGGCATTCATTATAGCTACCCTTACACATGCCGGCAGCTCATAGCGCTTGCCCATCCCCAGAATTCCGTAAGCCCAGGACACGAACGAGCGGTATGCATAGTACCGATAGATTCTGAAACACGGAATCTTCTCTGAATTGTCGCTGTTTCAAACCTGCCTTACCTACTGGTGTCCTCTTTCGGCATATCCCTGTCTTTCTTCTGTCTCTCAAATCGTCTTCTCTCCACCCATACAGACAGCACCTGCAGGGAATAGGACAACATCTATTCTGATCTATTTGAAGCCTCTTATTTTACCTCTGAATCCAAAACCACTTTGTGGAATGGAGGATGTTGTGTGATGCACAGCGCATCTACACTCAACATCTTTTCACGGACTCTCAGGAAGATTTCTCGGAGTTGGCGAGAAATTCTTATTCCATCCACTTCTTCCACAAGTTCACGACAACACACGTTTTCGTGCACTGTCGCAAACTTACCACAAGCCCCACAAGAGCACCACTTAGTGATCAAGGTTCTTTAAGGGGACAGGGTCTTCCCGAGAACGATGCAAGTGCTGAATCATGAATTGTCTCGAACCAAATTGTAACTGCTCTCTTTCATGAAATTTCAAGAACCTAATACCTCTCTTGGCGGTCTTTATGTCTTCTTTCTTCTCGAGCATGGTGTTCCTTCAACACCTTTTCTACAATCACAGGATGTGGATCCTCTATGGCGACAGGGCATGTTCGACCCTGTGATGACATCCTACAGACCTGAACTGTCGAGTTGAGCGGTACTCCTTAGTGATAATCGAGGCGATAGCTTCGTGAGATCCAACAATATAGGTGCCAGGAAAACAATAAGGATAATTTATCATCCTTTCTGTTTCATTCATACTCATTCATCGGTCTCTTCAACAGATGCACCCACTCCAGTCAAGAACGCACACACTCAATCGAATATAACAATCATCAGTCAAGTATCACACCAATCAATCACAACATAGTCAGTGGCAGTATTCATCATGAATGAAGTCTGTTCATAAATACGGTAAGTTCCGAGAATTAGTAGAAGGTAATTCAGACGGTATTGCTTTCGTTTCTTATTCAAGTAAATCACTCTTACTGTATTTAGGTATTGTCCCGATTCCGATATCCATGGTCCTACTATCGCCTTCTTTATTAGTTGTTCCTAATTTGCTTTTGTCTCCATAAACAACTGCAAGCTGTAACTTTTCTGGCCAGTAAGACAAAACAATATTGAATGGAATAATGACTACTACTTCTATGGACCCAAGCAAGGTAAACATCATTGGTGTTCGTTTATACCTCATGTATTTTGGTGATGGAAAGGCTCCACTTCTCTACATCCTTCAAGAAGCAAATTGATCTACCATTTCAGGACGAGAAGTGCTCTGTTTTACATTGAAGCACATCACATACCCATAGTGGAGCTCCAAGTCTAAATCCGCCTTTTTTGTTCGCAGTTTGAAATAATAAATGTGTTGCAATATGTAGTCCGTTGTTAGCGTTCTTCTCTCTAACATAAACACGGAACAACAAGAAGGAGCGCTCATGTCCTTAGGGGAGACATTGGAGTGAGTAGAGCCACTTATAAATCTCGGGACTAAGCTTAGGGAGGGGAGAGGATTTATGAGCATCCATTGTTCTCCCTTTTCTTCATTCCCGGTCTTGGGCTTGGTTCCCTGTTCAGTGCCCTGTTCCGAATGTCCCTCTTAAGGACATGAGCGCACAAGAAGGATGCCATCAATACACTGCTATTTTCACATGTGTATTAGAAATGAAATGAAACGGCAATGGAAATGAAATTGAAATGAATAACTATTCATACCAAATCCTAATGAGAATTGGGATACAAGGTGACGTTCAATACAAGTGGGACGGGGTTGCCTTTAGACCTTCCTTCATTCATATTGCTTAGTCATAGAAACGAAAAGAAACAAAAACAATTTGTGCGCTCTTCTGACTGGACTCTCATGCGCTGGTTGACCTCAGCACGTGCTATGAGGTCGCGTAGTTCAAGGAATTCATTGGCTCCTACCGTGCTCCGAAAATCGGCCTTGCGACCCTCTTGTATTGAACCAACTTAGATTAGTTGCTAGATGTTCCGATATTGCAGCCGGTAGATATCAAGCAACTATAAAACTGATGGTTCGACGATAACGATAACGGATCATATCTAGCACGCTCTTATCGCACCCCTTTCCACATCGATAAGTCTTGGGTTTTGCTGAACTTGAGTGAATTTCGGCTCCTTATCACTTCATTGATAAGGGGCCACTGCCACTGAAACTTAATAACTTCGTATTTTAACTATTATATATAACCGTTGATATAGTACACTGTCACTGAAACTTTACGTGTTCTAACATTGGGCAGGACCTCTATCCACTCCAATACATAGCTTTCCTTATCGTTGCCATGAAAATTATCGTGACTGCTTCCTTTAATGGTGAAGATCAGGGACGCTGCCGTTTTCGCCAAGGAATCGAAGATAAGGTGGGCCGGACACGTCATGCGATTTTGCGATGACCGTTGGACCAGAGCGGTTACCGACTGGATCCCTCGGGACGTCAAACGAACACATTCTATGATCAACGGTACGACAGGTGGTACAGGTGATAAAACTCATCCTAGTACGTACAACTATTCGGTCATGACAATATTAGGAAATAGCTTCCCAGAACTGACCGTAGGCTGGTGGAGTCTCACATTCAGCACAAGCACAGCCCTGTGCACAAAGACCTTTCTCTGCGCGAATTGTGAGCCGACCGAAAATTCCGACGTGACGCGACCCACCGACACATAGTAGGTTCGAGACACACTTCTGCTTATGTGAGCTCACAGATCCCATGCTAAGGAAATTCCACAAAAAGTAAAAAAATCGAAACCAGTCCATCTAATAAAAAGTACATCTCAGAAGAGTTTGTGAACAAATAGAAAACATTCGTAAGTAGTCCGTTTCAGTCGGCTATACTATGCATTCTAAAGAGAACTGCTTCTATGTATTTCATCAACTGGGTTCACTCAGAAGGAGCAGGAAAGAACAACATGATTGTTAAACAGCAAACCAAAGTCGTGAACAAATAAAAGCTCTCACATCTCGCTAAAATTTCACCATATTCTCAAAAAAGCTTCGGATCCTCTGACTGCTAAAAGAAAGGGATAAAAAAAGGAAAGCGGAAGGAATTATGAAGACAGCTAGAAAAGAGAAAACGTTGATTCTAAGCTTTGCAAGTCAAAAATTAGATGAACAGTTATGTAACGTGAGTATTTACCTTCACATGGTCGCCATAAATGGACCACACGGCAGATTTGAGGAGTGTAGAGTTGTAAAGGAAAATATCCAAGCGTTTGCAGAGCAAGCGGTTGGGCGCAAACGTGCTAGAAGGAAGGTGCAATGGATCTGAGACAGGAGGCAGAAGATAAATGTGCGGAGGACAGTAAAAATTTCAGAGAGACAAAGCCTAAGCAAACGAGGAGAGAGAGTAGGCAAGCCGCAATATATGGAAGTTGACCGCTTACTAAGAAATTCTGCTGTCGTGATAAAAAGGAGGTTCACACAATGAGACTCAACAAGAAGCACATTGTGGCTGCTCAAAACCCTTCATCGAGCCGTAAATGAACTGACAGGAAACCCAATCCTCTAAGTGTCCCTATTAGAGATAAATAGGCAGACTCCTGCTCACAGTGAGGAAATGCGAAAGGTGGCTCGAACACTTCCGCAACGTTCTCTGTCAACTCAACCCAACATTGTTACGATGACCTAGATAAAGCGCACGAGCTCGATGAAACACGGGCATAGAACCGTTGGAAAAACGAATCGAATGCCTTCGTCACAAGAAAGCTCCAAGCTGGACCAAATTCATGCAGATTTACTGAAAGATGGTGGCAGACTGATGACGGAGGTATTATACAATCTATTTAGTCGGCAGTAACCAAGAAGAAGTTCCAGAGCATTGGAGAAAAGGAGTCATTGTAAGACTGCTCAGGAAAGGAATTTGTCCGAATGAAAGTGTAGAGGCATCACGTTACTTTCAGTACCTAGAAAAAAAATATTGTGCCTGCTACTTCTACGGAGACTCCATAAGCTCGATCGACAAATACCCACGAGCAAAAAAAGCGAGATTAAGAGGCGGCGATCATGCTGTGAACAATAATCCACTCTCCGCGACATTGTCGAACAACGCATAAGATACCTTTACCCATTCGATTCCAACAGGATGACATCGTCAAAACCAGGAACATCTCACGATTGGCCTGCGCATCAGAGCCGAAAAATCAAAAGTCATGAGTACTGGGTTCCCAAAATGCGCAAAAAGGCATCAATTTCGATACGAGGCAACTACAGACAGTGAATAAATTCGTTATTTTTCGAAGTACAGTCGCTTGCAATGGAGATGCAGAAACGGGTGCGCTTATTCAAATCGCAAAAGCAGTATTCCAACGACTTCAATATGCCCTCCATCTCGCATAACATTAACATGTGATCATACTATTCATTGTGATTTCGACGGTGCTGTATGAAAGAGAGGCATAGAAATTCACTGTTTGCTCGTTAGGAAAATAAATGCCTTATATCAACGTTGCCTTCGCCGAATCATGAAAATAAGATATACAGATCAAAGCACTAATAGGAAGTCCTATGCGGCTTAGGTATTATGTGAACAGCATCCACGTGATTGTGGTACGGCGCAGACCAGGGTCAAGCAAGGCGTCGAGGGAAATTTGGAATCACGACCCTTCCCCCCCCCCCCTCCGCCAGAGGCCGAAGTTGATGAAACGACCTTCTTCAAAAGACGAACTATGAAAGGCTGTTTAATCCTCCCCGAAAAATGTTCGTCAAAAAAGCCCTGCTACCCCACCCTCCACCATAAAGTCCTTCATGGAGTACAAAAGTGAAAAAGTCAAAGAAATATCATTATTAACGAGTCTTACCAATAAATGGGGCAAAAAACGGCGAACCAGTTATAAAAGAGCGGACTATTAGCGGAAAAAGCTTTTATGCTGCTGCTCCGTGGCAGCATCTCTTCCTCCTTCACTTCCTTTAGGAGGTCTAACAAGTTTTAGTACTATACAGAGTATGCTTCTCGACCTCCACGTCCACCTTTCGTTTGAAGGAAGCCTTGCAGCCGCCCTAACCAGCTGTGCGTTGACTGATCTTTGGCGTTGACCGTGGAGCAGCTTATTTACTATTGAAATTTGAACAAATATTCAAATGATTATAACTTTCTTCAAATATGACGAATTTTCAATCTGAAAGCAGATTTGGGAGTTTTGTGAAGAGCTTTTTCTAATCAGTATTGAAATTACAAAAATTATAAGAAATAACAAATTTAGATCAAATTAACGAGGAAAATTCGAGATGAGCACGAGTTTTTACACTTTCCGGAGCAATAACTTGCTTCATTTCCGTCAAATTCAAAAGTTGATATGTCATACAAAACTAGAAGATTTTCTCTATAACGGTCGCTAAAGCAGCTTCATACGTCCAGTATTAAAAAATGGCCACGTTGAGGATTTTTGCAAAATTAACACGTTGACGACAGGCTGACGTACAAAATATGAACGTACAAAACTTTCATTTCAATTCTTTCCTAGTATTCCTTTCACTGTCGTAAACATTCATATGAAAGATTGTAGAAGCAGTTAATACAAAACTCTGTGAGTTTCAAGATATTTGTATTTGATGGAAGAACTTAGGTATAAATGCTTTTAACTTCATTCGCAGCGAAAGTGATGTTTTTTGCTTCTTCGTGGTCATTATGCGTTCTTCTAAACAAAAATCTACTGCTGTTTATAAGTTACCTTTATGCTTTCATCCTTGCCGAAATAATTCTATGAGTCAACGTGTTAACGAGGAAAATTCGTGATGAGTGCGAGTTTTTACGCTTTCCAAAGCCATAACTCCGTTCAAACTCGCAATCTGGAAAGTTAATACGTCATCATAAACTAGAAGATTTGCTCTATTCAAAGGTTGCTAGAACTGCTAATACGTCCAGTATTTAAAAAATGGCCACGTTGAGGATTTTTGCCGAGTACCGCCGAAAGGTACTTTTTCGCTACATTAGCACTATTTCAACGACTATAGCTCCTTTCAGGGGCGATTACATACTAAAGTGGGAGCAGATTCGGAAATCCTCGTGCTTTTTCTTCAAAAAGTGTAAAATTGTTTAGCGAATCTCAACTTTAACACTTACATGCTTGTGAATTTGACGCTGAAGGCTGCATTTCTTGTTGAATAGTGTACTCCTCCCTGTAATTTCACATGAACCCTTTCAGAATCCTCTTGATTTTTCCTGAATTGAGATTTTTTCTCCAGAGCCGTAATTCACGGGCTAGAACCATGCTGCAGTTTGTCTCTACCACTTTGAAAAATAGTTCGTGATGCAGCTGTCCATGCAAGCTGTGCCTTTAGAGATTCGATTGCACTGTTTGATTTCCGGAGGAGTTTTGGTAATGTTTCAAGTTGGAGATTATCGGTAATCTTGTAATTTAGAAGACTGAAGTAGAGCAGCAGTTTGGGAAGATTATTTGTAGAATCTAGATCGCTTTTGTTAACGATGTTCAAATTATTATTTGCACCACATACATTGTCAATTGTCGTTTTTTGTAGATGACAGTGCAACAAAGATTTGTGCAAAATTGTGAAACAAATACTAATAGAAAAGAAGACACTTTACTGAATATAAGGGAATGACAAACAATGAAAAAGCTCATTAACCTGAGTAACTACCATTGCATCACGTACTCCACGACGATAATCAAAGGAGGACAGTTCCTCCATGTACTATTTTATGCGAATACGATGGAGTCTGGTCTCTTCCATTCAATGATGTATCATATCAGTATAGCTATTGATTGATTTCTTTTTAATTATGTGTATTGTAATTATTAAAACTCAACGACCTCAGAAATTGCCACGGTTTCAGGATTTGGATAATCGAAGCGGAAAATAATCCTTGTGGGGAGGATGCCTAGTAGCAATTTTGTAGTTGTCTCATTTTTGGCCTCAGTCGTCGTGAATTCTGAGCTCACGTTGGCTCATCAGCTAATTGCCGTCCACCTACTCATATAAAAGAGGCGGACGTGGTTTGTCTGTCTTCTGTCTATCCGGCTGAGCTCTTGAGCTGTGTGGGTGTCCTGAACTTTGGCGGACGCTGGCGTTAGCCCTGTCCTAGGCCTCACTGGACAGCGTCAACTACTATTATGACTCCGATCGGTCACGTCAAAGGGGCCTCAGAAGGGAGTTCCCTCGGCGGACCCACAGTTAATGGGAAAGATAGAAGAAAAATCACAATTAGGAGTAGAGAATGAGGTAAAATCAGTGTGTTTGGAAAGAGAGATCATTTATGGTTACATACTGTATAGTGTCGCCTGTGTTCATATGCAATACCACGTAATTTCTTCGGATTTCTCGTCTTTTGACAATTATGTTTGCATATACAAAATCAATGAGTTGGACTGAGATGCAAACAATAATGTGAACCACCAAAAGCTTATTGAGACAGTGATGCAATCTCAATATAGCACCAGTCTTTCCTGCTCGCGTGTAAGCTCCAGAGTGAAGCAAATACACAAGTGTTGTACATCAAAATGTACAAGAGATTGCGCGCTTTCAGACTACATCATAATCTTCGAAAATAATCAGCAAAAATCAAAGAGCCATGAGCCTAAAAAGCGACGGGTGATTCTTGCTCTACCTAATAATTCCATAACCGCCAATAGAAAAATGATCAGTGGCGAGTGATTATTTCCATTCTATAGAATACCATGTTTTTAGATGTTGCTGCCTTGTAGTAAAAAAGGGAGATGTTATTATCGCATGTTATGGCAAAAAGGAGTTCGCAGGGTGAATATCGCTTGAGGATTCCTCAACGGCACGTCGAGGATTCTCTGCCCGATCAGAGACGATCTCTCGCGCGGACATTCACACTCGCCATGCCGTGCCGTCTGTGCTCTCCGCGCGGATGTTCACTCTCGGCACTACTCTCGCATGGTAGAGAGCTATGGTCGAGGATTTCCTCGACCGTTATTCACCCTGGTCCTAGTAAGGGACTCCGGAACCAAGTGGAATCGTTACCGTCGCCAACATTTGTGACAGATGAACGGCGGAATACGAACGCGTAACGGTCCTTCCGCTTTTTCGAATTGTTACGAAAATGATGCAAATTTTTGTTCCTTTCGTTCTTATCGTGAATGATGGGTCTCAAGCCAATAATTTCGGGATGAGATGGAATCACGATTTTTCTGAAGATTTAACACGTGCGACCGGCGATTTCGGAGGTTGTCACGATGGACATCGAAACAAGAGAGTATTTTACTTGTGGAAGCCTAAATACCTATTCCAATCTGATCCGAAATATGCATTAATGTGACCTCCGCAACTTCCCATGTTGGTGCTAGTGGGTGCTTACGAATGTTCCTCTCTTTGTGATTCGGTGCATAAGACCTGTATTTTAGAACAATCCCCTGAACACGAATATGACTTGATCACGGACACGACAATTTGCAGCGCCTAATTGGCACCCAACAGCGCAAGTTTGGCGGCGCAGGTCTGCACCTTCAAAGGGATTAGTTGCCCCGGTAAATCGCGAGCGATGAAAACTGATTTTGACGTAAAAACGAAGCAACGGTGGAAACGCTAATCCGTGAATCCAGGCAGATGTTCTGCAAGACCGATTCTCCTTCGACGAAGAATGTAGACTTCATCACGATGCTGCTGAGACAGCAGATGTTATAGAGGCTGCTATAACCAACGCTTTCCGTCGATAGCGGTCCTTACTGCATTAGATTGCATATAGGAAAGTATTAGTGTTCGATGTAGTATTTGTAAGGGTTTTCTCGGCATTGAATGAATGTTCGATTTCGAGGGCGAATGAATTTCGAGGGCGTCACAAGTTCGAGTGCTCAACCTTAATTGTTGACTGCGTCATATTACACTTATTGTTACTTATAGAGTGTAGCAAAACCATAGCAAGTGGAATACATAATCAAAGGAATAGTATTATCCTTACAAATAGAGAGACACTCGAAAAAAGAAAAAAATCCAAGCATCCGGTTATTTTGGGGTGTCGCCCGACATCGGGTGCCATCGTCCCACGCGGCAGAAAAGGTGTCGCCCGACGTCGGGTGCCATTGTCGCCAATGTGTTAAGGTAGCACCCCTGACGGGAACGTGTCGAAGAATTTGTGTGGGATAGAGTAGCCCATGAGTACCACAGATGCGTCGTCAGCTCGAAAGTGCGCCACAATGGCGCTGGGGCTTCACAGAATGAACGTGTGTCGCTAATGTGAGCGTATGGACGAGATTCCTCGTGCACATCCCATAATACACAGCGTGGGTTATGGCTAATTCAAATACGCGCGGTTAGTGGAGAGGTGGAGCGACTGAACACTAAACGAAGGTTTTGAATTTTATTTTAGAACAGCTCATGTTGGAAAATAGCTTTCTCGTGATTTTCAGTTACACTGTAGCGAATCAAAATATCAGAAATGCAAAAATAAATATTAAGTACAACAAGGAAACGAAGACTCCCAGAGTGGCACGAAGAGTGACGATAGGTGACTTTGGCGGGAACGGCAGTCTGACTGAAATGATCAGTTAGGAGAAGGAGACTTGGTTTGAACTTGGCTGAGTCATCCGAACCTGCAATGGCATTTCCGAGTCCGTGTAGCACGGGACGTAACACGAAGTTTGATTGTTGCTCCATGACGACGAGCAGGATATGTAAGACCAGCGAGAACATGTTGCATATCATCGTGAGACTGTAGAAGAGCACTGTAAAATAGCTTTCGAGTGTAAAGAACTACATAATCGCCTGGAACTGTGTCATTTAACAAAGTAGACTGCTGCTTAAATTAGCTTCTTGAGAAACCTTTTCGAGTTCCATTGCAGAAATCCCACCTGCGCAGAGCGGTCGCGCCGTATTCATAACTCAAAATGGGTCACTAAAACAGATTGGCCTTAGCTCGTAGGCCCTTTTAGGCCCCACGGATCTTTGCACGTCCAGTGACGCGGTCTCCCATAGTGTCGCTGATTAGCAATGCTCTCTCGTACCAAAATTCTGCCTCCTATTTTGGAAACATGTGAAGCGCATACATACAGGGGGTGGGGGCAAGAAGGAAAAGACTTTCTGCTCATGTCGCATGTCAGCGATTTTTTCGTTGGAAAGATTGCCGTAGATGAGAGTTTTTCAGTAAAATATCCCATAGATGTTCCTCCGTAAGTAAACGCAAGTCCTCCCTCATTGCCCTAGCCATCTTCAGATTATAACGTCCCTCCCAACGTAATGGAGCTCAAGTAGTCCTAGCGTAGTTGCTCCAGCCAAGCCATAGTTTCCTATAAACATAGTTCTGAATATGCAAACCCCCTTGATAACTCGATTTTCAGAAAACCTCGTAATTATCACACGATCCGTCGAGGCCCCATTGAGCTCGACCAGTGCACCATGTTTCCGGGGCAAATTTTCTGATGCCGTCCACGTAGATGGCCACTATGAAGATTTTCTTATGAGAATGAAATGTGCTCTTCAATTTTAAGTTGGGAACATTGAATTCAGCAATTGTTAATCACTCCATTTAAATGTAGAGGAAAAATGCTTTCTTTCATAGCCCCACCCTCTGTATGCGCTAAAGCAAATACATAAAACAATTGGCAGGTAAAAAAGCACTGTTCAATAATGGAGCCTAGGTACAGGATGGCAGGCATTTCACTCCTGCACTGTCATTATGTCAACACTGATCAAATTACGTGCAACCAGCATAATTTGTGAAATCCTACTTCTGTGCTACCGTACTCGCGGGTAGATCCTAGGGTGGACTTTATTGATTTACTGATTTATTTATTTGTTTATTTATTTTTCACTGCATGTACATGTACATGATTACGCATTGAACAAAAAGTCTTGCAACAACAAATCCCGGAAAAAGCATTACCAAAGCAGCTCATTAAAAAAACCACAATAAATCAGAGGAATTATCAAAGGAATTAAACTACCTCTACTACCAACGTTAGGTTCAAGGTATTACGAAACTTTGGCAGTTCCCAGCCTACGTATTGCTGCAACCTTCGTTTTGAATAGAGCTGAACTTCCGGGCAAGGTATATCTCTTCACAAACTTCACAACTTTAGAAAAAGCCCTCACCAGAAAGGGTGTAGCTCTAAAGTTGGGATAGATAATTTAACCCTTTCACCTCTTGTGATTATAGGGAAAGTGCGACAATTCACATAAATTGAGTGCGCTTATCGTGAAAATAATGAATACCGTTACAGTCCAATTTCCTCCTTCCAGAAAGACCAAATTCCATCCCCTACACCTTATTACTAACGAGAGTTCTTTCAAGGACTCTGGAGTAGTGTCTACCTAGGCGGAAGGTTTTGAAGACAGTTCGTTTACAGTTCGCCTGTGCATCTGCCGTCCTCCTCACAAAGGAACTGTCTAGTAAGCATAAGTTTGTCCCAGCTAGAGATCAGGAACGCTCGTCAAGTACAAAAGTAGTCCAGCGTTGATTACTGATGTCTGGTTACTATGTTGGCCGTCTCCAGTTTCCCTGAAGCTAGGCTTATTTCTCTCTCTGCTCGCTATTGAATCATACACATTCTTTGGTAGTCCTCAACTTAATCTGGCACCCCACATGAAAGAGAGCGCAAGTTTACATCAAATAAACGGTGTATGTTGGAGATAAAAAAGAGGTTCCTTGAAAGGATTGCATCTTTACAGTCGTCGGATCGGTTTCAACAAGTCCCCAGGTTAAAGACATGATAAAATTTCCACTGCCCTCATTTAAGCCGGCGACAGCCGAATCCTCTTCAGCGCAGGTGAAAACGTAACAAACGGCATTTTCACACTGAAAATAGTTTTCAAGAAAGGTGTTACCTGATTTAGGCACTCGACTGGCCGACAGGGGCATTCCATTAACCATCTCTTGAAGAAATATAGCCTTAAATAAGTCTCAAATTTGTAAATAATTACGGTAGTGTGGTGATATTTGCCTGTCACACCTGTATGATCACGTTGGAAAGTAGTGCGTAGACGGAGTAATTGAGCGAAGTCAGGAAGAAGGGTAGGATGTTGAAAGCCGCTGTGACCTAAAATGGTAGAAGGTTTATGTTTAG